CTCCCCTGCTGTCTTCACATTGTTTTCTATTAGAAGATTTAACCAACTAGCCCCTGTCTAACCTTCCAGGACTCTGAAGTAGTCTTTTACAAGTCAGGGGCCTCAGCTTTAAAGCTCTAGAAAATAAGCAGTGACTGTTCACCAAACTAAGTGTTATAAACAAAAATGTATATGTTTATATTGGGAAGGGACTTGTTGCTTTTCTGGCTTAAGTTGTATCTTACCAGTAACATCTATGGGCTTACGTAAGAGTAGTCACTTTTGATCTCTATACAACTAGATACCTATAGTTCTCAAACAGAACCCAAAAGGGTGAACTTCCCATGAAGCAGCTACCAGGCTCAGACCAATTCCTCTTGATATATTGTTCTGTGTTTGGGGATGGTAACTATTTCTAACCCCTCCTAAGGTACTTGCCACAAGGAAATAAACTTGATAATGCTCATTTATACATACTTTTGAAGATTATTTAGAAATGGATTAGGTCTATTTCTTTATTCTATGGTTTCAAAATTGTTAATATGTAGTCGAGTTGCCTGTGACTCATACCAACCCCATGTACAAAAGCCCTAAACCCTGCCCTATCCTATGCCAATCTCACAGTCTCTGACACACCTACCCCCATTTCCCCAGTCACTGAATCAATCCATCTCATCGAAAGTCTTCCTCTCTTGCACTGTTTCTCTACCCTCCCAAGCATGATGTCCCTCTCCAAGGACTGATTCTGCCTTGCAACGTGCTGAAAGTATGTCAGACAAAGCTTCAGAATCGTTGCCTCCAAGGAGCAGCCTGGTCTCACCCTCTCCAGGACAAACTTGTTTGTTCTCCTAGCAGTCCATGGTATATTCAGTACTCTTCTCTTGCATCACAGCTCAAAGTATTCAACTCACCTATCATAGAGGAGGAAATTCCATATTTAGAGTTTGTAAAATGCTGTATTAGAAAAGTAAAAGCAATTTTCTTGGTGATAATCAGATATTTTAGCATGATAATGGACATTATCAATCTATAGGAGGGCAAGAAAGTACCTGCTATTGCCCACTTTCATCTTGACTACAGAATCCCTGTTTCTCAGAATGTATTCTGGGGTGTTTTCTCTTAGAAGTACATCTCCACTGCCAACAAGTCAGTTCTCACTCATATTGACCATTGCTCAGCATTGACTTCTTAGTTAGCACACACACTGCCAGCGCCCTTTTGTTGTCATGTACCCTAGAGTTAGAAATGACTCATAGCTGACCCTCTATGCTTTTGTTTTTGTTTGCCATCAAGTCAGAACCAACCCATAGCTCACTGTCCATTGCGTTTTCAGAGGCAGCAGATCACACATCTTTCTGCCAGAGACTTTGGGTTGGCAGTGCAGCTTCTAACCACTAGGCTACCAGGGCTCCTTTAAAAGCATATTAACAAAAAAGGGGAGGGGGGGAGACCAACCCCAACCCAACAGAAAACCCAAAACTCCTTGCTGTCCATTCAGAATTGCTCAGCTGCTCCTTCCTTGGGTTGCAGAGACTTGATCACACATGTGAGAGGAGATTGACCCACCCATCTTTCTCCTGTGGAGTCACTGTATTTGAAACACCAGAGAATAGAGGCTTTTGGGTTAGAATCACAACTCCTTATGGACTACATCACCAGAGCTCCCTTAGAAGCACTTGTTTTTGTGTACTCCTGAGCTGAAACTGACTCAGCTTACCCTCCAGTCGGTTTTCAGGGGCAGTAGATCGCATGGGAGAAGCCATCTTTCTCACGTGGAGCAGCTGGTGAATTCAAACATTGTGCCCTTTGGTTGGCATCACAGCTGCTTGATACTAGGCCTCCAGTGTTCCCTTAAAACACATGGTGAGAATATTGACAGCGGATTCTGACAGCAAAACCCATCTCTGCCACCACTCATTGTGATCTTGAACTTAACCTCTCTGTGCCTCAATCTCTTCATCTGCAAAATAGGAATAGTAATAATATTCTATAATGTGGTTGTGAGAATAAGACCCTATCTGTCTGTCCACTTAAAATAATGACTGGCACAGTAGGGTGCTGTGTAACTGTTGTTATTATCAGGAGTCTTAGTGGTACAATAGCTGCTGTCAGAAAATCTCCCACTCAGTTATTCCAAGGAGAATTGTCCTGCACATCTGTTCCCTTAAAGATTACAGCCTGGAAAATCTAAAAGGTACTTTTACTTCATCCTATTGTGAGTTGGAATCAACTTTATCATACAAAGCTTTATCTTACTATGATTTGTAATCCGCTAGAGGACACACAACACTGTTACTCAGCTCTCTGTTTACTAAAGATACATATTGAAAACTTATATTCCAAAAGTTCTAGAAGGTTCCTAGTGACTTTTTGGGGTTTTAGGGTTTTCCCCCTAATAGTAAAAATTATTAGAAGTAGGAATAATATAGAGACTTTCAGTTCAGGGAAAACGAAATAGTTTCCAGTTTAAATCCTCATACTTGTCAGCATGGCTAGGGTCATAAAGGAAATGAAGATGTTGACTCTGCCTAACTCGAGGTAAAAAAGGAAAATTGAACAGTGGCAAGAATTGTATTCATCTCATTTGGACTAGCCTGAAATAGAAAAAAGTTATGCACAGTGTATAACAGTAGATATCAAACACTTAAAATTCCAGTTTCCTGCATGTATGCTATGGAAAGAATGAAGCTGGCTGATAAGGTCTAGCCTAGGAGGAAGGTGAAGAGATAGCCACATCAAAAAGTGGTTTAAGCAGCAAATCAAGAAGGTAATCATTGAAATAGTAAAACAAACACACCTTCTTCTGTAGGGAAGGAGATGGAGCTCTTGCTTTTCTGCAGATCACCAACAAAAGACTACAGCACAGTCAAGTGCTCGATGGAAAAGAACTTAAAAAATAAGGACTAAGACAAAGGTTGGTGACAGGTCATGGAATCTCAGAAAATGGTAAGATTAAAAGTTGTTATGTGCCACTGAGTTGGAACTGACTCATAGCTAACCCTTTGGTGGTGGTGGTTGTTATGTGCCATCGAGTGGCTTGCGACTCATAGCGACCCTATATTCAACAGCCCTAAAATATGCTCTGTCCTGTGCCAGTCGCACTGTCTCTGACACTCCCATACAGATTACCCCAGTCACTGAATAAATCCACTTCATAGAAGGCCTTCCCCTCCTGCACTGTCCCTACATCCTACCAAGCATGATGTCCCTCTCCAAGGACCGGTCCCTCCTCACAACATGTCCAGAGCATGTCAGACGAAGCCTCAGAATCCTTGCCTCCAAGGAGCAGCCCAGGTTAACCCTCTCCAGGATGAAACTTTTCCTAGCAGTCCATGGTACCTTCAATACTCTTCTCCAGCACCAGAGCTCAAAGGCATCAATTCTTCTATCCTCCTTAGTCATTGTACAACTCTCTGATGCATAACATGTGATAGCAAAGACCATGGCCTGTATCAGATGCACCTTAGTCTCCAGAGAGACACCATTGCCCTTTGGTAGTGGCACTTAATCCAGTGGGAGGAGACTGCATGTCTTTCTCCCCAGGAGCTGTTTGTGGATTCAAACTTCCTGCCCTTGAATTGGCAGCACAATTTATCCACTAGGCTATAAGAGTTCCCCCAGATTAAGAGTAGGATGGAAATTTTAGAAAATTATAGGATTTAAAAAAAAATTCTAAATATTTTACATTGGGAGGTTGGCCTCAAGTCTGACTCGGGCCCAAGTCGATTGATTGTACATACTATCTTGGCATAGAGGTGTGCATAGAGAGAGAGAGAGAGAGTGTGAGTGAGTGTGTGTGTGTGTGTGTGTGTGTGTGTGTGTGTGTATACACACATACAGGATAGAAGACTTCCATTCTAACGAGTTAACTCCACTGTGGAGACAGTGAGTGAACCACACTAAGTTAAAACGGGAGTCTTGATAGTTGCTCTTCAGCAGATGGGCCCCAAATGACTATATAAATACCGTAAATCACTGTTGTCAGGGCGCACACTCCACCTCCTCCCTCCCTCCCTCCCCCACAGCTATCCACATTTCCACACCCCTTCACCCTTAAGGGGAGAGTTGGAGGTCTAAGTTAAAGAGATTTCTAACTGTAATCCTAGCACGTCACTTTGCTGTAAGCAAACACGTGGTTCAGAGAGAATTTATAAATCTCACCTCCCCAGCTAGATCGTGATGTTATCTGCTGGCAGCAGTACCCTCCAAGTTGAACTTCAGAAGCTCAGAGAGAGAAACGCCAAGTGAAAACAGAGGAAAAGAGAGGGAGAACACAGCATAATGGTCTAGGAAACAATTTGAAGGACTGCCTGGCTACAGAAAAAAGTGTTATTTCAGAAGGGGCGGCGAGCGTCTCCCTACCCTAAGAGAGAAGGTCCTTGAAGGAGAGACCGTGAGGGGCTGGGAAAGGGCAGTCTTCCAAGGGAGTCCCGAGCAGCCCCCTTAGGTAATAAACTCAGGCAGCGCTTCCCAGAGGTTGCCGCTGCGTTCCGCTGGGGGTGATAGCAACTGCCGCGGCGGCTAGTTGTCTGTTGCTGGGTTGGCGTTTGGAGCCAGAGGAGGAAAAGGAGGAGCAGGAGAAGGAGGGAGCTGGAAGCTGGACGTGTTTGCAAGCGGCGGCGGCAGTAAAGAGGAGTTGCCAGGCGAGCCGGTGCGCGCCGCCAGGGCGCAGGCCACAGCGCGGCTCCAGGAGCAAGATCGTCACGGCGTTTGCTGCCTCCAGGGTCTCGGGAGGACCTGGCGAGACCCGAACGCTGTGCGAAGGACACCGGCCTCCCCTCGGCGCCCTGGCTCGCTCCCAGCGCGCGCGCACACATACAGGCACGCGCACTCACATAGACGCACGCGCGCGCACACACACACACACACACACACACACATACACACACGTGCGCTCCTTTGCTCTGGAGCTGCTGCTTTTGCTCAGCACAGCAGTGGAAGGCCCTGCCGCATCGCTCCTTTAAATACACAAATTACAGCCCCGCCAGCTTGAGCGGCCCCCATCCCAGCTCTGCCGGCGTCCCTCCTGCCAGTTCGACAACTGCCAACCCCGGGACCTTTTCATCTTTTCCCTTTTGGCTGGAAGAGCCGAGTTCAGATCTGCCACTGCGTACCAAGACTGACACACTGAACTCTGGTTCCTCCTCTTAAATTGATTTCTGCTAAAAACACCGCTTTTCTCTCTTTTCCCTCCCTCTCATCTTGTCACTCCAAGAAAACTTTTTCTCACACCCCAAAGTCAAGAGATTCCCCTTGCCCATCCCATATTAATATTTCCACTTTTGGAACTACTTGCATTTTTTAAAAAGAATTCAAGCGAGATATATTTTTCTATTGGAAATCGACTTTCGACCGTTTGCAAAAGTTTCGCGTTAAAAAACAACAACAAAAAAAAAAACAACCTAAAAACAACTCTACCTGATCTACACTTTGGGAACTGCTGCTTTCTTTCTCATTTTTTTCTTTCTTTTGATTTTTGTTTTTCCTTTTTGAAAACTTTTTCCACCTTTAAAAAAAATGCACTACTGTGTGCTGAGCGCTTTTCTGCTCCTGCACCTGGTCGCGGTGGCGCTTAGCCTGTCTACCTGCAGCACGCTGGATATGGACCAGTTCATGCGCAAGAGGATCGAGGCGATCCGAGGGCAGATTCTGAGCAAGCTGAAGCTCACCAGCCCCCCAGAAGACTACCCCGAGCCCGACGAGGTGCCCCCGGAGGTGATCTCCATCTACAACAGCACCCGGGACTTGCTCCAGGAGAAAGCGAGCCGGCGAGCTGCCGCCTGCGAGCGCGAGAGGAGCGACGAAGAATACTACGCCAAGGAGGTGTACAAGATCGACATGCCGCCCTTCTTCCCCTCCGAAAGTAAGTGCCGTTTTTCGCTTCTATCTCCCGAGGTTTGGCGCTGGAGCTGGCAAAGCCGCTGCCACTTCGGGGATCGGAGATCGCCCTTCCCGGCCCGGGTCCCCTCTCACGCTGTTCCCGGTCGCCTGCCCTTCCCACTCACCTCTCCAGCGTGCACCTAAGACCATTAGGCTCTACAACCTTAACTTTCTACTTCATTTTCTTTAGCCTCCCTCCCTGCCCCCACCTCCTCCCAGCGCCTCGGATAGAAGTCAACCTTCTCTCCTCTTCCCTGAGATTTGCGACCCGGCCACCAGCGAGGAGTCAGCCCTTCTCCGTTAAAGTCGAGGCTGTCCCCCGGGCAGAGTTAAGCTGGGCCATTTGGGTAGGTGTGTTTTCTTTGCGCACTCTGGCGTGGAGCCCGCTGCGCTGTGGACGAAGGGTTAAACAAAAAAGTGGCTCCAAGCTAGTCTTTCCTGAAGGCTCTCCGCTTTCCGTGCCTGCTCCCCCCTCCATTTGATAATTCCAAATCTTCCCTATTGTCCGAAAGTCCCCTAAAAATTGTTACTAACGTGAAGACAAAAGGGCGACCCCTAGGGAAAAGTCACCTTAAAAACCTGAAGAAGCTTTAACTGTCTCTTGCCTGCCTTAAGTGTTTGCCTTCCCCTAAGACCAGCTCTCAAGCCCCTTTGCACTTTGCCTTCACCTGGAGTGGTAGAAAGGAGAGCTTCTTTCTGCTGTGTTCAAAAGTTGCTTTCTTTATATCTTTTTTTTTAAAAAAAGAAAAACAACAACTTTACTTTTTTCTTTTCATAAACCACCCAATCCTGCTTTCTTAAGATCGTACTCCCCACCCCGCATCTGACAGTACCATTTTGTTTATAGTTTAGTGGACAATTTTTCTTAGGATTTATCGTCCATCTTTGTCAGTCTCGAGCCCTGTGTCCCAAGACTTGCCCCTGGTTTCTTGCAGTTACTTCAGTGCAGTTCTTAATCAGACAGAGGACAGCCTCTTTCCCTCCTCCGAGGGCAGTGTCCCCAAAGCAGCTGGCATACAGTAGCAGCAGCAGGGAAATGATTTATTGCAGGGTTCTTTGGGAGAGAAGGGAAGACAGGAGTGAGTTTAGGATTTTCTCAAAAGTATGAAACAGAGAGGGAAAGGTAGCATTTCGTGGTATCAGAGAGGGTTAAATACCAGAAAAAAGATAGAAAGGAAAAAAGGGAAAAAGAGAGAGAAAAAAGCAGCTTCAAGATTTGTGTATTCCACATCCCAAGCCCTAAACTTTTCATTGGCTGCCATTTCTCTCCTCCCCTTCCCATGCCCTATATACTTGTTGGCTGCCTTTGCAAAGTCTGCTTCTTGCCTAAATAGATAATACAGCCATGTTGGTAATTTTATCCTAGAGGTCCTAATTGCAGGGTGGTGCTTTTCTTTTTTAATATTTATTTTTAGTTTGACAAGTTTTAGCTGTGTGGCTTGTCATGTCTTGTTTTTGATGGTCTCAGAGTGTCAGCTGATGTGCAGACCCTCCCACCCCCTTCTTCCTAGGCTACCTTTCTGTTTTACTGCAGCTCCTCTTATTGTTCAACGGCAGAGAAGATAGAGAAGATGTTGGCAAGCAGGGCGATTTTATTATTGTAATTATGGCACCATTCAAAACAGCAGTGATAAATACACTCCACCCTGGTTATTCCCCCTCAGGAAGTAAGGCTTTCTGTTTGGGGTGGAGCCAAGGAGATATTAGGAAGGAAAGTTCATTATAATTAGTCCAAATCCATTGAGACTGAACAAGGAGTTGAGTAAGTTTGCTTTCTTTAGCATGTGTATCAGTTCTGCTACTGGAGCAGAGAGGCAAATTAACATGTTAATGTGGAACCTGTCAGCTCATCCTTTCAATATTTACGGAGGGAGCTCTAAGGAGCTGCCAAGGCTTCTATAACCCAGAGGAGGCCTGAAAACATCATTCTGTAGGTGTGGACAGAACAAGTTACCAAAGAGGGTCATTCTTTGTTCTCTCAGGCACACTGCACCCAGGATCATGGTCATCCCCAAAATGGAAACATTCTCAGATTCTTAGGAGGATTTCAGTGTGACAGTTAAGATCAGTGTGTGGACTCCTCTCCATCCAATCCAAACTCCGAAATAAATGAAAACCTCTAAGAACTGCATGTGTGTGTATATATAAAATGCTATCAGTTTTGACACATTCAGGCTTCTGACTGTGCACTAGAAGTTTAAAAGCAAAAGGTTATATTAATAGCAGCTTTGGTTCTACTGCGTAGGGCAGCAAATAATTTTATAGAAAGTAGGCTAACTGATTTTCCAGCACTTTCTAGTTATACTGGAATATGGGAAGTCCTTCCAAAAATAGGAAGAAATGAAGAAATCACTCTACCATATTTTTAAAGAACAAATTGAAAGTACAGCTCTGACTTATGGACCATCTTACCCACTTTATAACTTTGCTGCCTAATGTTCTCTGTCTGAAGTGGCTGCAGAGAGGGATGTGCCTGCCATTGCTTGCAATGAATTCACTGAGGTTCATAAGCCCCAGAGATGAAGGCATGGGAAAGATCACTGGTTCATTTTTTTACCACCAAGTTATTAGTGTTTAGGGAGTGACTTCAGCTCAAGTATTACAAATATGCTCTAATTATATTCAATGAGCTATATATCAGTACAGATTGCTGATAGCCCTTTCTAGGGCCTTTTCTAAAGTTCAGACTGAATATTTTTAGCAATGTGGAGATTTAAAAATAAAAATATAAGAGATATTGTATAGGACCTAAGGCATATTTTATCTTAAATATTATCCTTGGCCAGATGCTCTATATAAATACAGTAAATATGAATAGAATTGGCCTGATGCCAATCTCCTGGGATGAATTTTAGTCGAGAAAGTATTTATGGAATATAAATAATACTGTGTCAACATTTAAAGAAGAGATCTGATTAGTTTTAAATTTATTCATATTGATCTTTTCACGTGCTGTTGGTTTAAGGCTCAAAGAGGAGTTATGCTAAGGTTTACTGATCGTTTGCCCAGTGGGAATTAGTGGACTTTGAGTACTTTTTGACAATCTATTTGAAGTTCAAGGCACTTCTGTTCAAGAGACATTACACATGGCTTTGGAAAGGTAAAAAGTGATCACATCAACTGCAGTGAGAATGTTAAGTAATTGACAATTTGAGATCTCTAGTGGCTTGAACATCAGAACAAAAAAAAAACAAAAATAAAAGGAAGAAAAAGAGAACTATCTAAGTTTCTTTGGTACTGTCCTCCAGCGTAGGACATTTGACAATGCCTGGGGACATTTTTTGAGTTATGAATTAGAGGAGTGCTCTTGGCATTTACTGAATAGAGGACAGGTTTTGGTCATCATTCTACAATGCACAGGATAATCCCGCCAAAACAAAACAAACCCCAAAGAATTATCTGGCCCCAAATGTCAGCAGTTGCCCACAGGGAACAACCTTTGTAGGCCTAGTATTTGTTTGAGGTTATTGAGTTCAGCTAGTTGTATCATTTTTAAAGGAATTTTAAAAAATTAAGAAAAAACCTTTATGATCAAAGGACATTTAAGTAAGGGCATCAAACAAGAAGAGAATAAAAAATAGTTATCTTAAGTCAGAACATAAATCAGACCATTTTGTATGATATAAACTTTGCTTTTTTGTGACCCCAAAACAACTAAATTGGAAACATCAACATTTCCCATTCATAAAGCTTAAATATCATTGGTGGCCCACCCACTAGAAGCATCAACTAGCAAGAGCATGATAGTCAAAACGAGGGAAAAGAAGTGAGGCATTATCTTGGATTTTTCATTGCAGGGAAAATAAGCAGTTCATGTTAATGAAGAGTAGAATATCCAAGCGAGGCAACCAAAGAAAATAAATAATCATGTTGGTTTATTCTTTCATATCAAATGAGATAAACTAAAATATACAGCCTGAGAAATCACAATGAGGTTTCCTTTGTAATTGTTTCACATGAATGTCAAACATGTAATACTGAGTAATCTCTTTTTCTCTTTCCGCTGTAATTTTCCAAATGAAATTATGGAATGTAGAATGAATACCAATAACACTATGGTTTTGGGGAATGTGACTTAGCATTCTGTCCATGAATATATCTTTCTGTATATACATTACTAGTCTACTGGCCAATTGCCCAATGAAAGAAAATATTAGCAATTGCTGGGGCATAAGTAATGTTTTTTTGCTTTCTGTTCAGGGTTTTATTATTAAGATTCTTTCTCAGTGTTTATGTGTGTGTGTTTGAAACAAACACACACACACACAGAGAGAGAGAGAGAGAGAGAGATCTTAAACAGAATGAAACCCTTTGACTTCCAGAATGATTACCAATACACAATAGATCAAGCTCTAAGTCTCTCATTGTTACTGCACCACTGCTCAGACTAATCTTAGTGCCTACTTGTGTTTACATTTAAGTTAGACCATGTTCTCTTGCTTCTCTTTTCTTTTTTTTTTCAGGGACTAGGAACAACCCTCCCGGAAATACACTGTTTATAACTGAAACGGTCAGGCAGTATTTGTTGCCAGGGAAAGCCAGTCTGCTTTCAGGCCCTTCCTAAGGAGAGCTGAGGATAGAGGCCAGGCTTTGGGGAGCCCACAGAGGCAGGTGCTGACTGCAGGGAGCCTCAGTGTCTCCATGGCGACCCCTGTGGTCTACTCAAGGACATGCAACTTTTGATTTATAACCCCTTGGCAAAAAATGCTGATGTAACTTAGTTGCAGCATCTTTCATATAAAGATACTAAAGAAGGACAGATCATTTTTCCTAGAGGAAAAAGGGATGTGAATAAAGGGCTAGTGACTCACTGCTGGTCTTACATCCAGTCTGGGTTAGAACCTAGGAGGTCACTGAGTGCTAGGCCTTTGCCAAGAGATTACAACACATTGAAGCTGTACTGTTACAAGGTTAGGCACAGTGTGGTGGAGGGGCTATCTAGAGGAATCTGGCCATGGGGTGGTTGTGCAGGTGATTGTGAAG